CATCGAAATTGTCACATGTTAGCTTCAGAATAGACCATGTTCTGGTGCGCTGCAAATGTCTCATAAACCATAAATATTGTGGACGTTAAAACACTGTATTTTTTTAAGAGGCCCTCCCTTCGAGGATGATAAAACGCCACCCGATAAAAAAAACGCCCCCGATGCTAAAACGCCTGCACCTGCGGCAGGCGTGGCATTCTTTTTTCAAGGAGTTTGTTTTTGTTTCTTTTTTCTGTTTCTTTTCTTAGAGGTTATAGGTACAATTTTCGTTGGTCATCAGCGTTTGGTTGTGCTAGTTTTCGCATTGTTCGAGCGCTTTGGAAGTGTTATTGGTTTCGATAACACCGTATTTGCTTAGCTTTTCGAAATAAAAGGCCTTGCAGCTGTGTTCGCAAAGCGTCTTTTACAAGTCGACTTGACTTTTAAAACGCCCGAGGGGGGGGGGACGTCTTACCATACCCATAGTGTAAGAGGCCCTTTTGCAACTTTTTCCAAAATGTTAAAGTTTACGGTTTGCGTACCCCCTAGATTCATTTTGAATGCAAATATGTATGGGAAAATGATGCATGCTCACAGCGCATGCACACGTTAGCGCTTAAATATTATCAGTTGTCTAAAAATAGTAACTGAGCTTAAGGGGGGGCCTCCTGCACCACTCTCCCCTATAACACGACTGGCCGAACACGGGCCTAATATATTTCGTCTAACCAGCCAAGAACATGACTTTACACCAATCCGACCTCGAAGTCAAAATCCGAACATTTTCGAAGACTTCAACTCCGGCTCTGGCCCAAAATGGCCAAAACAGTCAACTCCGACTGATTCCGGCTCCGACCCCACACTTCTGCAGTCACGCTACACTAAATTTCCAGCTTCTAAGAAATAAGCTATACGGTTGACAGGACCACGAAACTTTGAGGCGACTTGACTACTTGACTTGGTTTTACTGACCTAAGGTTTTCTGGTATCAAGCTTGTTACACGGGTTGCAAAATTCGTATTTTGGAGCAGTTTTGCCTAATGTTTTTTTTGCCAATTTTCGCGGCGCTTCGCGCCGATTCGTGCACAAACCAAAACGAGAGATTTGTGACTATACAACGCCCCCTCCCCCACGCGGGTATGCAATATGCATTACCTATGCAATATGCATTATCGATCATATTAGTGGCATACATCAGCAATTATACCGTGATAGAACACGAGGCTTTGCCGTGTCAAACCGAATCGGACATCAGATGTGTATATAGGTAGGTACTCGGTGGGAATGCGGTCTATACCTAGCCATTACTTTAAGGAAATACCTAACCTAAGCTACTTTCCTCAAACCAGTTGTTTTGCCATAGTTTTATGAGTTAAAATGGTCAGGAAATAATGAATATTTGCAAAAGGATTTTACATTTATTTTTAGGTACATTACTATTTTCCATCTTTCGTAGAGGCTACTTACCTATATTGCAGCGGAAGCTGATTACGCGTTGACCAAGCATAGTACGTAGTTCAAACCAGCTGAGCTGATTGGCTAGCATTTTTCCGTAAGGGAATGGATTCCTCGGTAAGAGAATGACAAAGTGTAATCTATGGGAATGACTTCAGTCTTCAAAACTAAAATCGATACCGATATATTTGGCTAGGGTGATCGTTGGGCCATAAAAGCTCCTGATTTGTTCTCGTCTCAGCTCAAGCTACAAAACTTCAGTTCAAAACCCTATGTTAAAAGTGGCATATTTGCTTTAAACGTTGAATGCATCCGACCGAAAAAGCCACGGTAAGAATGTCTACTTTTGGGTTTTCAGTCGGTCAGTCCGTCCCCCCCAGTCAAAAATCCGTGGCGGCGCCCCTGCCCATGGACCAGTTTTTTATGAAAATCTAAGGGGGTCCGAATGTGATTCTGAAAGTGAATCTGAATGCCCTAGGGGCCAAAGTATAATATGTGGCGAAAAACAGACTTCACCATGGGAATCAGCGTCCAAAACTGTACACATGGACCAGTTTTTATGAAAATCTAAGGGGGTCCCCCTTCCCCAAAAAAAACTTTGAATGCCTCTAGGGGCCAAAGTATAATATGTGGCGAAAAACAGACTTCACCGTTGGAATCAGCGTCCAAAACTGTACACATGGACCAGTTTTTATGAAAATCTAAGGGGGTCCCCCTTCGCCCCAAAAAAAACTTGGAATGTCTCTAGGGGCCAAAGTATAATATGTGGCGAAAAACAGACTTCAGCATTGGAATCAGCGTCCAAAACTGTACCCATGGACCAGTTTTTATGAAAATCTAAGGGGATCCCCCTTCGCCCCAAAAAACTTTGAATGCCTCTAGGGGCCAAAGTATAATATGTGGCGAAAAACAGACTTCACCGTTGGAATCAGCGTCCAAAACTGTACACATGGACCAGTTTTTATGAAAATCTAAGGGGGTCCCCCTTCGCCCCAAAAAAACTTTGAATGCCTCTAGGGGCCAAAGTATAATATGTGGCGAAAAACAGACTTCACCATTGGAATCAGCGTCCAAAACTGTACCTATGGACCAGTTTTTATGAAAATCTACGGGGGTCCGAATGTGATTCTGAAAGTGAATCTGAATCTGAGGCTGTCTTGACAGACGTCGCCGATGTTTCGGAGCTCCGCCACCAGGGCGGCCGCTTGGTCACCGGCGCTAGTGTTGGGGAATAGGGAGTGTCCTATCCAGGTATACTTCATCCATGGCCATTTTTAGTTTATCTGGTGGTTTTCTTACTCTTGTACGTCGTTTTGTTGGATGTTTTGAATATTGACTTATATCATATTTAAGAAGCATGTTGACTGAAAACAATCCGAAGTATCCAGGAGGCTGACAGAGGTCCTGACTCCTGAGCAATATCAATATCAAGTTGTACAAGACACAAGTTATGAAATTTTGGTTGATAAACGCAAGGTGATCGGGCTCATATATCAGCAAGAAAAAGTAAAATTAATAGAGCTTATTGGCCAAAAACAAGCTATAATATTGCAGACCTTGGAGCAATGCCTACTGAAGAGCACGCTGAGCAGGATCATGCCAGAAAATGTTAACTGATGAGTGCATTTGATGTATTGGTATGGATATTGAATGATAACTTACAACAGCAAGATAAATTAGTGCTAACTTTCAAGTTAAAAATCTAGAATGAATGGACTTGGGCAGCTTAGATGCTTCATGCTATGCAGATTGTAATGTGCATCAGGTACTCAGTGTCTGGCAAATGAAACATGCGATCATCATTCCATTGCTACTGGAGGAGAAAGCTTGGATCACTAAATCCATTTTATGTTGATTTTGATGTTAATCATCACTGTATTTCTTGAAAAAAGGATTGTAGTAGAATTGTCAATGTGACAATCCATGCAACGAGTAATCATATAATGTGTTCATAGTCATTCATGATAGTGATTATTGGTCAAATATACAATGACAAAGCTCTCAGTCTCAGCGTTTCTTCCTGCGGATGGCCAGCAGTGACTCAGAGCTTAAAAGTATTAGTTTTCTTCACAGGGCTGGGATAAAAAGTACTGAGGGTAATCTTCCACCAAGGAACTCTACTTTGACATGGTATGAGATGTAGGCACAAGTAGGTAGGTGCTTAGTTCCTATAGTCAGTAGTTGTGTATGTTTAGTCGGGCTAGCTTAGATCAGATTGTTAGTTTTTTAATTTGCCAAGTGTCCATAAAAATGTGACCTGAGCAATGAGCATACTCCTTGACTAACCTGACAGCTGACCTAACCTCAATCATCACACATATTTGCAGCCTACTCAAGACCTGCATAGCAGTAGCACCCAGTTATAGGTAGGTACTCACCCTAACTCAATCTTACCTGCTAACCTTCAACTTGCCAAAAGTTAGCTCACATTGCCAAACTGCATCCAGGGAAACAGTCAACTGAGGAACTGGCTCATTGGGTGGCTGGTGTGAGTCTGTGCATTTACAGTGTTTCTTCTCTGAAGCTGCTCTGCACTGCTGTATGTCATGTTAGATGCTCAGAAAATGTGGGAAATGATTACTATGCTACTTTAGTGCTTTGTTAATGCTCGAGACATGAACAAGTACAGATCCTGCAGGGTACAGCTTTGAGTTAGGTGCTAGGTGAGTATGTTAAGTGAATGTGCTGTTCCCTGTTTGACCATAGTAAGTATACAAACAAGCACAGGGTCACAGTTATATTCAATCTCCACATAAACATACAACAAAAACGGCCATATGGCCTAACTCCGAACACACCACAGATAACTTAAGCCTTTGCAGGCACAAAAATGTTTTGATTAACAGGACAGGTATACAATATATCCTCTGTCCTTGGGGGATCTTGCTGCCAAGTTGAGGTACGATGACTTAACTTCAGGATTGATCAACCTTTTCTTGCCACTGCTTATATACGAGAAAGACCAAATGCTTGTTTGTTTTGATTTACAGGACATGTATACAATATATCCTCTGTCCTTGGGGGATCTTGCTGCCAAGTTGAGGTACGATGACTGAACTTCAGGATTGATCAACCTTTTCTTAGCCACTGCTTATATAGGTTGAGGTACGCGAAAGACCAAATGCTTGTGTAAACAGCGTTGAAAATTTAATGATCCACCTTCAATTCTGACATGAAGGCACAAATGAAATAGTTCCCTCTCCTTTTGGAATACACAAAGCAAAATATTTAATAAATTTTAGTGGATGGACAAGAGCAATTAGCATAGCTTCCCCTCAAGTTAACTTCTGGCACTGATGAATTACACACTGACGCTTATTCGCTTCATATTTTGTAACAAACGCGCTAAAACTGCAATATAACAGCACTATATACTTCTTGACAAAATGCAATAGAAGGAAAAATTTAGCCCTGATGGCATTCATTCTTGGTGGAAACGTAATTACAAAATATTTTGTAGTAACTTTTAAATTCCGGCCGAAAACAGTCCACGGTTTAAAAAAGAATCATTCCAATGACGGTCCATTTTTGCGGTCCTGAAATCGCCACTATTTCCGGCCTCTCCATGACGTGACGTGACGTTTATTTGGGTAATGCCTTTGCAGCGGCCCCCACAAACACAACAGTTTTACATGACACGACCATCACGAACACGAACACATACTACAACGTAGGTATCAAGTACCTATATGACATTTTCAGTGATGTTTTTCTCGGTTTGTTTTGTTTCATGTTATTTCCCTTTAGTTGGCTTTAATTGAAATATTGTTTTCATAATCTTTTTCTTTTCATTCTTTGTCATCATTTTCATGGTTTTAAATTTTCATAGTTGCACTGATTTGCTGACACTTCACTGCCTCATCCTTTTTCTTCTTGCTTCCCACATCTTGTAAACACTATGTTTATTTTTCTCCATTTGCTTTTCATCATTACTAAATAAAAGGTTTGCCAATATTTCGGTGCTGTCTTCCACATGTGGTCGTTGCAACGGCTCAATTGCAGATCTCACATCATTGAGCGCTTCGCATCTTAAGAAAAAATGTTCCAAATCTTCTGATTCTCGTCTGCAGAGATCGCATAGGCTGTTTGATTGGTTGATTGATTGGAATTGTCTGCTTTTTATTTGTAATGTGTTCGATCTTGCCCTGTACAGGCATACAGACGCTGGTGTGTTATCATATACTTTTTCTTCCCTTATCTCAGTTTTACACTTTCGATATAATGAAATGCTTGCCTTTTGTTCTTTCTCGTCTTCCCACTTCTTTTTATCATATTTTTTCAGTTTATCCTTCAGTTCTTGTTTCGTCATTCCTTCAAGTCTTGCTATATTCAAGTCTGCTTCTTGTAGATATTTCGTTGTTATCTTTTCCCATCTTGTCACTTTTTCTTCAAGTTGCAGTCTGATGATTTCTTTCAGTAAGTTGTTTTTCTGTTTTTCAGTTAAGTTGTTTCCAACGCAACTCGTTGTCCAGACGTAAATATGCAATATGATTATTTTCATGATTCTTTAGAATCAACGATTCGATAGATAATAAAAATCCAACATTTATGTTGTTTGTTTTTTTTTCTGTGATTTCATAAACGATAAAAACATGGCGGTCAAAAGGCACAAATTTGATTTCTTTATTTCAAAGCTCGGCAAGTTTTACCAAAGTCCTTTACTCGAGAGTAAATTTGTCCAACTATCCAGCATGACGTAATGATACCGTACATATGAAAACAGCAATTGTTTTTCTTTCCTTGGAAAGTTAAAAGCAAATGAAAGCAATTGTTTTTCTTTCCGCTAAAATGCAGCAAGTATCTACAAGCAAGTAATCTTGTCTACAAGTACTGAGTACATACCTGTATGACCGTGAATGCAGCCACGCAGGAGTTCTATCAAGAGTGCTATAGCCTAAAGCCTGCAACTGTCACACTCGGGTAGGTGTCTAACTGAATTCTAAGATGATTCAAAGACCACACCAAGACTTGATGACTTACGCATATTGCATGATACATCCTTTCCCTACTGACGGGCCTTATTGCATTGCTTTGCTCTTTGGCCGCACATAGGTAACAAGGCCGTATAGAGACATATATTAAACGCTCTCGAGATAAAGCGAATCACAGCGCATTCATTGACAAGGCCCATGAAACCGATCCACCAGCAAGGGACCAAAATGCTCCACGTTTCTCGACTTTTCAGTTAGCGTAGTTCTGGTACGAGTTTGAACGGCAGCGGACACCTGACCAGATGATATTTGGGATCCTCGGCCATTTCCTGCTGGTCGCCCTCCGGCCAACAGAAGGAGAACTTCTGCAGGAAGGCAGTGAGGAAGAGAAATAGCTCGGCTCGCGCCAGGCTCTCTCCGAGACACTGGCGGCGACCCACTGAGAACGCCATCACGTTCTTGTCCGGCTGAAACTGGCCCTGCGCGTCGATGAACCTCTCGGGCCGGAACTGGACCGGCTCGGCGAAGTAGCGCGCGCTGCGGTGGACGGCCTGCACGTTTCCGATGACCTGCACACCGGCGGGGAGGCAGTAACCGCCCACAGTGACCGGCGCAGTGGTCTGGTGAGGTACCAGCACGGGCAGCAGGTCGCCGAGTCGCTGCGTCTCCAGGATGACGGCCTCGGTGAAGGGCAGCCGCTGCCGGTCGGCCAGTGTCGGCGGCCGCTGGCGGCCCACCTCCGCGTCCAGCTCGGCCTGCAGCCGGCGCTGCACGTCCGGCCGCTGGCACAGGAAGCCCAGCGCCCAGCGCAGCGTGGTGGCTGTGGTGTCGCTGCCGGCAAAGAAAAGGTGCAGCACCGACATCAGCATATGCCAGTCGGTCATCAGCTCGGGCCGGCGGCGCTGCTCCATCAGCATGGCGTCCATGTAGTCGCGCGGCGCGTCTCCGTCCTCTGGCAGCGTGTCCCGGTGGCGCCGGAGCACCGGCGTGAACGTCTCCTCCAGGAGCGCGCCGAACTCGGCCGCGATGTGCTTCTTGTCGACCAGCAGCGGCTCCAGCAGCGGCGCCAGCCACGGCACCGTGTCCAGCAGCACCAGCCGCGCCGATGCGCCGATTATGGCGCCCTGGCGGCGCAGCACGCCGCTCATTCTGTCGTCAGTGATGTCCACCTCCTCGGAGGCCACCAGCCGCCAGATGATGTTGATGATGGCCGAGTTGAGCGGCGTGTCCAGACTGAGCGGTGCGCCGCAGCTGGGCTCGAGCACTCGCTCCATGAAGGCGCTCACCTGACGCTGTATGTACGGCTCCAGACTGGTCTTGCCCATTCCCAGCGAGCCGAGGTGGTGCAGCGTGAAGCGGCGGGTCTCGCGCCACAGCTCGCCACTGGAGCAGATCAGACCGGAGCGGTCCACGATGAACGTGTTGATGGCCGTGTCGGGCCGGGCGCTGATCTCGGCGCGTGAGAACGCCTCGCGGATCAGCAGCGGGTCGCTCAGCACCACCTGCTGCAGGGCTCCCAGCCGCACGTGGTAGATGGGACCGTAGCGGGCAGCCCAGGCGGCGTAGCTGCGCTCCGGGCGCGCCGGGTCGAGCGACAGCAGGTTACCGATCCACGGCACCAGCGGGGGACCTGCGGCACCGAGACCAAGGGATCAAACTGGCATCACCTCGTCCTGTCACAGCCCGAGCCCAAGGGCTCAAAACCGGTGCAAGCGCTAAAGAACCCCTCTTAGCTATTCAGCGACGCATCCGGTCGAGACCAATTATGCGTCAAAGATACGGACCAAATTGCACCTAAAGCTGGGTCATGCTACTGACGGTTCTTTTAGGACTCCTAAAGTGTTTTTTCGTGAGAAGCTAAAAGCTGCAAGTCGATAAATGAAAACGTTTAACTTGCATATCAGATTGCATTTCATATGTAGGTACGTTGTGGAACTCCAGATAAAATGCCTACATTTTCTTCTAAGATTTTATAACTTACTCACCGGGAGGGCACCAGGATGGTCGCCTTGTTGAGGTCCAGGCCCAGACGGCCAAAGCCAGAGCGGCTGCCAGCATCAGAACGAGGAACATCACAGCAGCAGCCTTTGCCAGGAGCTCTTCGCGTTCTCAATGTCTCCAGTACCGCTATCTGTCGGCTGAGCGGCGCTCAGTCACTAGTCTACTCGAAACCAATTCGGGAGTCCTTACCACGACACGTCAACACGATACCCTCGGCCTCAGCGACTCAGCAATATCAGCATGCCGGCTACAGAGTATCGAAGCTTATGAATTGTCAGAGCTACACTAGCACTGACGGCACAATGTCAGCACTTAGCAGTCCCGCAATATCAGCACTGATCACACACCCGCAGCACTCAGCACTCAGCAGTGTTCGCCATATCAGTGCTCGAGAATAGCCACCCGTATATCCGAAACTGACCTTGACGAGTCAGTGCTCCTTGGCACCGCACGGGTTATACGAAGCGAGTGAGACGACCGCTCCCGGCCGTCACACTCCCTACTGCGTCGAAGGCCTCGCGTACACTGCGGCTCCAACAATGTTGTGTCTCGTGCCTGACCGCCTTGGTTTATGTAGGCCAGGGGTACTCAAACCCAGTGGCGTCTGGACATTCACACTTCAGTGCAGTAGCGTTTAGCGGCGATCTGGACTTCGGAACTCTGGTGGACTTTATCGGGATATGGCGTGCAAAGCGCCCATTGATTTTTTAATCCTCGCCGTACCTATCGGTTTGTACGTACATGCGCCCCTGCCGAAGGATGGGCTTGGGGATCGGGGGGAGAATATGGACCCCCTTGCCGTTTTGCCTCAGTTGAGCTAGAGCCTCGCGGAAAAACGAACGTCTGGTCTGATGTCAGGTTAAGTGTTCCATGGGAATGGATCGGTTTGGTGAATAACTTCGTCAGAGAAAGTAGCAGATCCACGACTTTGGCTCCATCGCATTTTCCATGATCTGGCGGATCGAATGTAGGTACTTTTTACTTCGAGATGGTCGACGTAGGGTGTTGACCTCAAATCAAGGTCAGGTCACGGTCTCTCAGGTCACCAGGCGGTCATAGGACATATCGCATATAGTTCGACTTGGCAGGTCTTCATGAACACTGATCAAGTCATAAGGTCCGAAATCAGTTCGCTTTATATTTAATTCCTTATGTAGAATATTCGCGTGCCCTTTTTTCCTGTATATCTACATTCAGGTACATGTGTGTTTGAGATAGTTTTATAGACAACTTCCGGCGCCAAAATAACAGTCTATATTTCTCCCACATCACCGTATACCGAATGGTGAGGTCATGTTATCGACCTGATTTCGAGTGGCCCTTAGGAAAAATCTGAAGAATGATCTAACCTTGAAATGTTGCATCTCGCCGACTCCGTCTAAACGGCACACACTGCAAACTTCAAAAGACTCGCCCCGCCCGGTCTCGCGTCCACTCGGCGCTACCGGCCGGCCAGACGACCTGAGGCGCCGCAGGGCCCTGAGGCAGGTTAGCGTGCTGGGTCACGAACGGAGCCAACGTATGAAATAGATCAAATAACTCAAGAACTCGGCATTTACGTTTGGTGTGGACTGTGGATATCGTGAGACGGGCTCCTATGGTATATAACGGTGGTAGTCCCACATCATTTTTTTGTGCTGCTTAGTGCCCCCTACGACTTACGAGCGGAAACCAGTGAAATAAATTTTTATAATCCATTTTTGAGACACAAGCATCTAATACCAGCGAAGTCGGTAACCTTAAATGTCAGGTCAATAACCCATGCCAAGATATTTTTGCAATAGGTACGCTGAGCCTGACGACTGCGGAGACAAAATTCGCAAACTTGTCAGAGAGGCGTACCCAAGTACCTAAATTGTTGACCTAAGATGACCCAGGCCGTGTAGGTTTGACCTGGGATGACCTCATGGTGTGTCGTTTCGGGAACTAGCGAATGAAGTTTAGTACCGCCGTTCACCGGTGGATGGCGCTAGCTGGTAGTTTCAGCGAAAACTCCGTCTGAGATGTTTGAAGGCTCCCCTTAATCCCTTGTTCAAACATGGACCCCGTCAGCCCCGGCAGAGGTATTTGTCCAGTGTACACCGCACCTGAGGACGGGTCAGCTGAGGGAGGGAGTCACTATTGTGGCCTGAGGAATGCCGCGCCGGTCGGGGGACGGGGTCGGGAGGAGGGGGGAGGGAGGCAGCGCCGTTCTTGCGGTGACGGGCTGGCTTGTCGCCTCAGCCTGGCATACGCTCAGTCGGCGAGGCGCTGCGCATGACCCGGGAGCAGCTGAGAGTCCATGACTCCATATAAACAATTGGCTCGTTTGTAAGCACGAACACTTGGAATGTTGCTGGTGCACTGGCGGTCGCAGCCGCTAGCTAAAGGGGGGGGGGGGGCAAACTCACACTCGCGGGACATGACATTTATCCGTCACCGGAGAGGGGGGGGGGTGATCGGCTAATGTTTTACGTCCACGAGGCGCCGCGCAGTTGGCACTACTTATGCCTCAGCCATCTCATTCTTGCGTGGAATCTTTAAAGGTAGTGTGCCACCTTTGAAAGATTTCCCATTTTATTTTTCCTAGGATAAGAAGCTTCTGTTTTTACCTAATATCGCAAAAAAAAAAATCAAAAATGGGCCTGGAATAGTGCCTTTTCGCCTAAAAGTTTTTCGGTTTTTAGATATGTATAACAACTGTAGTGGGCTCACCTGCAAACAGGCGTCGGGCAACAATCGCGAATGCGGCGCACTTGTGACAATAAGCAAAGGTCATTATAGTGTTACGACCATACGACGTACGGGAATGAGTTATCAGCTGTCTAATCGTAGACAACACAATGTCGAGCCTTAAACTGTAAGCCCGTATTGGTATTGTTTCTTTTATTTGGCTGTCGAGCATTATTTATGGTTTGAAATATGATTTTATGTAAAATAATTGATATGAAAAAGCCGTCTTATAAGTTATGACCCCATTTCACCACACGCAAGTGGCAGAAATGACAATGATCAGCTGACGCATTTTTCTTGGCCGAAGTCAGAGCGCGCGGCCCGACGCACCACGCGTATTTGGAAATTCCGACCTCGACGAGCATCAGAAGCCACCTAACAGGCGTGTTCGAAACCGCAGGAGATGATGATGAACGGGTTTATCGAAACTTGATTGGATGAGCATATCGGTAATAGCGATTTCAGTGTGTGCATTTATTGTTCATAGTGGTGTGAAATGTGGTTGGGGTACGACCGACAACCCGTCGGGGCGAATTTCGCACTGGGGTACTCAAAATTTGAAGAATTTAAGACGTTTCCATGAGTTTTGAAGGTATGGATAAGTTCTAAAAATCCGGTTCTCCTTATCTGGGCCATTAACTCCATACGGTCCAAGAAAGCTGGCACACTACCTTTAAGCTAAATTTAAGGCAAAATCACCAGTTCCATTTCCCGTCACACGGTGTTTCCACCGCGCGGGCCACTGCACCATGGCGACGGATCGGTGTAGCATATACTGGAAGGTCGGGCACGCGGATTCATGACCTTACCACTATAAAACAATTCGGAAAAGAGCAGAATCAGATACCTACCTCTTGCTTTGAACAAGCATGTGAAACCCAGAGAGCATTTTCAGACTATTATGACATTTACCCATATAGTTCTGTGTGGCGGCGGGAGAGAGTAGGTACACCGACCTCTGGAGACCAAAAGTTCCTGGCTTTCAAATTTGGCATCTGAGGGCCGCGCGCGACTCCTGCGGGCTTCGCAACGGTTCTTTTGGGGCTCACTCAACCTGCCTAGTCCTCATGCTAAAAAGACTGGCCCTGAGCTCTGAGGACTTCATCAGTCTCTGCCAGCCCCAGGACCCACAACGGCTCATGGGGTCCCGACGTCGAAATATGAGGGAATCTACGCGGGACCAGCAGGACGTAAAGTGATCTCGATCAGGACCAACGTAAGGCTGTACAGGAGTCTGCGTAAGCCCTCTGATCTTCAGAAGCCCACCCATGTATGTTTTCACTTAGAGGCCAGATTAGGGCCCTCAGAGGCCAGTACAGGGCCTGCAAACTGCAAAGGCCAGTAGTTTGAGACCATCAGAGACCGAGTTGGGCTCTCAGAAGAATGTGGGTCCTTACTCATTACAGGCCAACGTGGGGCCCTCAGAGGTCAGCGTGGGGCTCTAAAAGACCGGCATGAGCCGTCGTTGGACCCCAGAGGCCAGCAGAGGGCCCTCAAAGGCCAAGATGGGCCCTCCTCAGAGGCCAATGCAGGCCCTTAGAGGCCGGCATCGGGTCTTTAGCAGCCAGTGCGGGGCCCTCATTGGCACCTAAAGGTTCGTCTTGGGACACCAGAGACAGAAATAAGGCCACCAGAGACCGGTGTGAGACGCTCAGACGCCGGTTGGGGCCCCTGAGGCCGGTTAGGGGCCCTCATAGGTCAGATGTGGGGCTTCAGAGGTCGATGTGGGCTCTTAGCGGCCAACGTGGGCGCTTGACCGCCACTGAAGTTCCCTTAGAGGTCAGTGTAGCACGCTCAAAGACCGGTGTGGGAGCTATATTAATAGCTGGGAGTGGGTTTTTGAGCCTCGTGACGATCGAATAAGGGCCAGGGCCCCATACACCTATGGGGGCCCATCGGTTGTTTGAGGGGGACAAATGATATGATGGCCCCCTTTATTGGCCTTTGGGGGATATGGCGCCCCTGATGCTCCCCCCCCCCCCCCCGCGACCGCCACTGTGTACACATTACACACGGGCCTCTGAGATTGCATACTAGCTCATGCAAACTCTATGCAGGCCCCGGAGGTCCCACGCTAATCCTTAAGAAACCAAGCCGGCATACGGCGTCACCAACGGGCTTCTGAGGTGCACAGTACCAAGTACCAACCCATGAGGTCTTACTTTAGTGTCGTAGAGCCACGCTCATTTGGCAGGGCCCACCCGCCACTGCCGAAAAGGGTCTTATGCCAGCCATTGCTGGGCCTACGAGAGCCTCAAGTAAACCCACGCTGATATTCCATATAAGATCCGGCCATACTCGTGAACCGGTGCCAGCGACGATGAACGCCAAATTGACAGAATGCGAAACTGAGCCCATTAATGAGTGAAATTTAGGTACGTCCTTTGATGGCGCAAGAAAGAAAATGAAACATACAAAAGGCTTTCTAAGACTTTTGTTTCGATCTGAAAGGTGGGGCTAAACGATAGTATGGCCCCACCTTTCAGCACCAAAGGGGCCCAGGGGGCATGGCCCCCGTGCCCCCCCCCCCCTGGGACCGCCTATGTGCTGGTGCAGAATTCAAGCATAGGGACGATGTTTTTTTTGTGCCAAATTTTGTGTAGGTAGGTATATGTAGGGAATTTATAGAAATTTATTGTGACAAAGTTCAATCGGTCCAATTTTTTTAAGATATCGAGGTTTTAGTGACGTCATGATTTGAGTTTTCGACAAAAACGACACATGTTTAAAAAAATCATGGGTATAAAATCACAGAATAGACATACAGACATGCCGTAAACGTCATTGGACTGCCAATACCTACCATGAACAATTAAATTGCCATCTTCGATTTTTGATTACCTATCGTTCTACGGTTTCCAAAATCTTCAATGGAATCTTGGCAATTTCTTGTAGACTACTTCACGACCATGATGAATGCATTTCATAACCCGTA